GTTTGTTTTGTTCTCTAAACCATTAAAATGGAGGCCCTTTATTTTTACAGCAGCCTAACCTTCCCTCACCATTTTATGCAGAGGTTTAAAGATTTAATGACTGGCTAATCCAAAAATAAGATAGGGTCAAGGGAGGAAGTCAGGTTAAGAATTCAGTTCAAAGTTCTAAAATACGTGAATATTGTATCTTTAGAGCCTCTCTTTAACACCGACTCATTTGGTGAAAACTAGTTTTTACCGAGGCATTGAAAAAGTCAATATTGAAACGCAGACATTCCTGAGATGCAAAAACCAAACCCCATCTCACAATGCTATGCACCTTGGATTACTGCTTTCCCTGCTTAACCCAGGAGCACCCTCCCCCACAAACCCTACAAAGGACAGACATCTTGCATTAAAATTTTGTGTCCTGCCAAATTTGATCACATAAAGCAGAAGTTTTTCCATCAGAAGCAATTCTAGAGGGGAGGTAAAATTTTACCTCTATCTGCAGGATTTTTTTGGCTAGACCTAAGCATTAAACTGACATAAGACCAATTAACAGAGGAAAGCAGATATATTTATGTGAATTTTATATGATATGGGAGTCCCCATAATGAAATGAAAACCCAAAGAAATGACAGAACCTACATGCTTTTATATTAAGGCGAACAAAGAGAGGCTATTGTGGCAAAGTAAACTCTGTAGAGAGGCTAAAGGGAGATAAGAGTGATTTGAACAAGGCCTGTTTATATAGAATTATCTTGGCTTCGACTCCCCATTAGATAATGCTTTTTTTCTCCTGGTGTAGGAAGGGCATCTTTCACATGGGAGTTGTAAATCTTCTGTTTTCAAAGTGAAAAGAGGAGATTAGAATGCCCTTCTTGCATCTGTGATTTTTTAAGTGCTTTTAGCTCAAAATAATCCTAATGCCAAAATGGCACAATTAGGGGTGGCACAGTCTGCCATCCATCAATTCCTACACAAGGGATCATCCTGATAATCAGGTATTAATAACACTGGCATCTCTGGAAGGTATGTGCATCCAGCTCAAGCACTAAATGGATTTGAAAACAATAAGGGAGGGAAGGATACATATGGGATTTACAGCAACCGTTCTATATTTTTTCCCATTTAGAAAGGAGACTGTGTTGGCCATCACAGCAGTCTGAAATGGTGTATATATTTTGCCAAAGCTAGTAGTTGAACATATAAAAAGAAAATATCAAACAAGAATAACAATATTCTACCATGAATACTGTTGTAAAATGACAAACTGGCAATTACTGCAATATAAATGAGAAAAGTTTCTAAAAAGATATCAATTATTCAATTAGTTGTTTCATACAAATAAAATATTGACCAACTATCCTAGTTGACCAGCTAACATGATAGGTAAGCCCTCATGTTTCTTGCTTAACATAATAATTCTTTGAGGGCATCCCTACTTAGGTAGCTCTCCTCCAAGCTGTGATTCAGAGGCCTAAGCTCCTTTTACATCATATTTCTACTACTGCCAACATATGTCTCCCAAAGTTTCCTGGGGATTTTTCCATTTCATCCATCCAACAGGGGGAAAAGGTTAAATCAGGCCAAGAAATTGTAAGTCCCTAATGTTCCTTATTTTATTGGCCAAGACTCAAAGTCACCTGGCTCCACACAGCCAGTGAAGCTAGGAAATACAGTCTAGCTGTATGCCTAGGAGGAATAAGAAAAGATTAGGAGGTATCCAGTAACTCTCTGCACTGTACTTCTCCAAAAATCTTTAAAAACACCATAATTAGTAAATGATAATGACATGATTGACAAAGAAAAATAATCATCAACCTTATGTTTCTTAATAGTTCATTCCATGTTTTAGATAAAATTAGGCCTACATAGACATTTAAATTCAATTCTTTGCATTTATTCAAAATATAGTATACTCTGCCAATATGTATTTATTTTTATAATTTTTCATAGACTTTTCGATATATATGTATTTATTGATTTCAGAAAGGAAGGGAGAAGGAAAGAGATAGAAACATCAATGATGCAAGAAAATCATTAATTGGCTGTCTCCTGCACGCTTCCTACTGGGGATCAAACCCATTACCTGGCATGTGACCTTGACCGGAATTGAAACCGGGACCCTTCAGTCTGCAGGCTGATGGTTTACCTGCTGAGCCAAACTGGCTAGGGCTGCTGATATTTAATATGACGTTTTATTATCCCAATTTCTGGGTGTCTGATAGAAAACAAAACAAGTACTCAAGGACTACTGAATCATTTACAGCAACTATATTGGTACTTTTGTAGGATTCCCTTCATAAACTGCAGGATGCAATAAGACTGCCAAATTACCTCTATGTATCAGAATGACAAATGAACCAGGATAGTCAGGGCACTATCTGTAATTATTAGATATGTTCTTCTGGAAGGTAAAAAATTCTTCCACATGTGATCATGTGACTCCTCTTAATTTTAGCACCAATAATGGCCAGCTGCTTCTTCTATAACTTAACAACTTTATTAATAGAATCTATTTGCAAAGAAGGTAAGGAATGGTAAATTATTCATTGAAAAATTCTTTTTAAATGGTGGAGTTAAATGAAGACGATTTGAAAAAGAAAGCTAAGTGAGCAATGCCCTAATGAGATCTATTACTTTGGCCATAATACCACAATGTTTTAGCTAGAGAAGTTAAGGAGCAAGGCATACTTCTATTAATAAGGACATGAGCTCCAAATGAAAGCCTGGCGATAGGGGACACCATTTTTTGAGTTTATTTAAAGGGAAACTGTTACACACTACACCACTTTTCTCTTCTCTTGGGGCTTCCAAGGAATGAATAGATTTGGGGTGAGAAGTTTTTGAGAGCCAAGAGAGACTTTTATTGGGCTGAAACTGGGAGGGATTTTCAAACCCACCTCAAACAGCAAGAACATTTTAAAGCCTGGCGATAGGGGACACCATTTTTTGAGTTTATTTAAAGGGAAACTGTTACACACTACACCACTTTTCTCTTCTCTTGGGGCTTCCAAGGAATGAATAGATTTGGGGTGAGAAGTTTTTGAGAGCCAAGAGAGACTTTTATTGGGCTGAAACTGGGAGGGATTTTCAAACCCACCTCAAATAGCAAGAACATTTTTTTGTGTGTGTGTGAGCATCTACTACATAATTTAGTGAGAAATAAGAGTTTACATGCATTTTGGTTATCGAGAAGAACAAAGTGTACACATTCAAGTAAATTCTCCAAGAGCAGAAAACTGTATGTTCCACATCAAAAAATTGGAGGTTACCATGTCAGCACAAAAGGAAGGGATTTGGTAATAATAGACACAATGGAGAAAATGACCTTAAACATAGATTGATAAAAAATTAATGTTATTTTAAATATGCTTTACATCTCAACGGTTTACATATGTGTCCTGTACAATTTTTCTGGTAATTATATAATTTAATTTAACTTGAATATTGCATGGACAGCTTTTAACTAAAGGAGAAAACTCCTTGGTTGAGTGTGGTCAATATTCCCAGATGGATCACTTACCTCCTCCTTCAGTATCGTAGCCCCTGAACTAGCTTAATATTTTTAAGTAGTTCTTAGAAATTATCAGAGCAATAAAGTCTAAATTCTAGAATATGATAAAGTGTTCTCTTATATGATATTTTCTTCTAATTGGTCTCTAGATACAATAACTTACTAAAATATTCTGGAATTCAATACATCTCCCATATTCCTCATTTATAATTTTGTATATGCTGAGTCTTTGGAGTGCAACATCTTTCCACATTTTTATTCAGTGATTTATCTCTACTTTCCTTAAAGATACAGCTCAACACTATGTTGATCATGTTCACACACAGTTACCAGTAAGTGTGTCTCCAACATGCTTCCTTAGTATTGTGAGCTTCTATTATTGTATTTTCATACTGTATTGTATTTTTCATATAGTTCTTTATTTCCACACATGGTTGAAAACCTCTGGAATGTAATGACTGGCTGCCTTTTAATGCGGGAAACGTATTTATACGTTTTACGTTGACTGGTAGTATATACCATAGTATTAACGTATTTATACCATAGTATAAATACGTTTCCTGCATACAATGTGTTAATGCTATGGCCTGAATAAGTAAGTAGTAAATATGCAGTATATAGTGGGTCTCCTGCAAATGTCTATGAGAAAACTATCTCCTGTGGGTTCTAACATACTAAAAAAAGTAGGTTAATGTTTTAACTGGAGATAAAAATAAAACAATGGAGAAGGGGCGATTGGGAGGTAATTTGATTTAGATCAGGCCCTGAGAATGAGGTCTTTATTTTGGGATTAGTGTCCGGACAAGAAGAGACAGCAGAGCACTTCCCCCCCTAGTGAGCCCAAGTGAGAAGGCAGCCATCTATACGCCAGGAAGAGAGTCCTCACCAGAATCTGACCATGCTGGCACCCTGATCTCAGACTTCCAGTCTCCAAAACTGTGAGAAAATACATGTCTACTATTTAAAACACCCAGTTCATAATATTTTATCATGGCAGCCTGACCTAACATAGTGTACACACTAACTCTATAGCTATAAATATGTAACAAACATTATACACATACACACATACTACTCTCTCTGTGTGTCTCTTTTTCTCTTTCACCGATTTTTTGGGAAATATCATTTCTGAAACATGCCCAAATAGGGGAAAATAGTGTGTCTGTCAATAGTAAGAAACGAAATGGCTGCTTCTTCCCATTGAGACCATTGGTTATATTTTAAACCCCCAAACACAATGCTGTATTTTTCAAAGCTTGCCTTAGTTGCTTGTAAAGGATCCATTCTTCATCAAAGCATTAGTAAAACTAATATTATTTCAGTAAAGTGTTATTTTATCTATATTAACTTTTAAAATAAATATAATGTTATGCTTAGAGAAGCTTAGACTAGAATTGGGAGATCACTTCATTGATAACTTCATATATCACATCAATGTTTAGAAGCCAAAACAAAGCTAAGCCCTTTATTAATTACAAAACCCAATAGGAATCAATACCTGTATTCCTCTTGTGTGAAACGTGGGATTTCTCCGGGATGTAAGACAAGGATTTTCACCACGGCACTGCTGGACATCACAGGCTCACCATCATCAAACGCAATAACCACCAACTTAAAAAGTAATAAAAATTCACGTTAAAATTATTTACAACAAAACACTTTCTCATTTTTCCATATGTGCTTTTAATCACTGGACTGCCTGATTCTAGGAGGCAGAACACTGAATACCAGGTAGCAGGCAATGTACTAATGTATGCTACATGTATTATTTAATCTGCACAAAACCCTGCCAGGTAGATGTTATTACTTTAATTTATGAGATGATATAACTCAAATAAATTGAGTTAGTAACTCTATGATAAATAAAACTACCAGTAAAACAGTTATGTTATATCTCCCGAAGATAAACTCCCATAATTTTACTGGTGCCTACAGTGAAAACATGTCTTTCTAGGCACTAACGCATTTAAAAAGTGTTAAATTCAGTCACATCAATAGCAAAAAGCTAATTAGCTTGCATATGTAAGGAAATTAATTTTTCCAAAGTGAATTAATTGTCTGCAAGATTATAGGCCAGAAATACTTACTCTGGAGGATAAAACTGGAAATGTTTAGACTTTAACACACTTTGAAATACACTCACTTAAAAACAATTACAACATATAAAACCAAGTTTACAGCAGGAAGTGTTCAAATAATGCAAACTAAAAAAGCTTTATTCTTAAGTGTAATAGCTGTATAAGATTTATTATTAAAATAACTTTTATGATTTATCATTTTCTTTGATAACCTACTTTATATCTAGAAGAATTTTAGTGTTTGAGAAGAAATGCTAAATATATTCAAAATTATGTGTTTCTCCAGAATATAATTTTGAAAGCTACAGATTACTAATCTAAATTTATTCAAACTAGATCATGAAACCATAACCAAGGATCATCTGAGAGCCATATTTACCTTTAGATTTCAATCTTACAAAGAAAATAATTACTCCAAATACTGATAAAATTATGTGAGACATAGTATTTATTGATAGTTGCAATAAATACTTAAATAGTTAACTGATGAGTATTTGATTGAAAAAAAATGGAGACTATTATGAAAACAATCAAAATGTGTTGGATGCCTTTACTTATATTAGGGCATCCTAATTAGATTAGTTTTATTTTGAACTATATCAGGTAATACTGGGGTGGGCATTATGTTTACTGTGCTTAAGGGTTGTAAATCTTTTAAGTCAAGCAAACAACTCAGGCACAGAGCTGTTTGGTTTCACACAGAAACATCCGCTTTATTATACCACTAAACTCTTTGTAGAGACAAAGGCTTTATTCACAGTGAAAAATTTTATTCTAAGTAACTATAGAAAATGGATATATTCAACAAAATAGATTACTTATGAGAATAGTAAGGGATAATATTATTTCACATTTTCTGGAAGTATAACAAATCATGAGTATATAAACTTGATCCAGCAATTCTGCCTGCAGTTATCTAAGGGGAAAAAAAAAAGGCAAGTGGCAAATGATAATTGCAAAAGGAGTTTCATGAAAGCAAAGATTAGTATAACAAAAAATTAGAAACAGCCTACTTATTCAACAAGGTATAAATAAACAAACAAAAAGGATAGTGTATTCATACAATAGAATATCATGCAACCATGAAAATAATAGCATTAATAGTATTCATTGGTATGTATAAGTTAAAAAAGCAGTATGAATAATATTACCATGTTACTTAAAACATGTATTTGTATTTAAATAGAAATATATCATAAGGATAGAGAGTAAAATGGTAAATTCTAGTTATCTCCAAGGTGTGAAATATCAAGTGATTTTTTTTCTTTTTATCGAACTGTATTATCAAAGTGTCAATGCAGTTAAAATGTATTGTTAGTAATTTTAAAATATTAAAAAGAAGAAAAAGAGAGAGAAGTATGGTCACCTGTCAAACCAAACTTTCAATAAAAAATTAAGCATCTAATAGACAAGTAAGGAAAACTAACCTTAAAAATGGTCGTAGGTTCTTCATTAAGATTGACTCGAGTTATTACTGTTCCAGAATCTTCTTCTACATCAAAAATACTGGCAGGATAAGGAGACTGGACACCATCTACTCTATATCTCACACGACTTGCAGG